CCAGGGCCAGTCTTCCTCAGCAAAAAAAGAGGAAGATTGGCAGATGTTAGCACAGGGCTGGTCCTCCTCACAAAAAACAAAACAAAACAAAACTCAATAATCACTTGTTTCCTTCTGATGATCTTGACACCCCTCCCATGGAGAGGTGAAGTCTATGCTCCTTGCCTTGAATCTAGACCAACCTTAGTGATTTGTTTGTAACCAGTAGAAAGTAGTGGAAGTGATGCCTCATGGTTTTTGAGGTTAGATCAGAAAATGTCATATAGCTTCCACTTGGTTCTCTTGAAATATTCCCTCTTGAAGCCTTCAGGGATGTAAGCTGTTCAACTGCCCTGAAGCCACCATTCTGTGAGGAGGCCCAGACTAACTCATGGGGAGAGATCAGGTGAAGAGACCCTGAGACTTGGTAAAGAGAGGGACATCAGGCCAGACCCCACTGCCTAACCACCCTCCACCCCTGGTCAGACGACTCCATGGTGCATGCCAGAGTAAATCTAAGTGGCTCACACGAACCAAGCTGGACCAGAATTGTTCCTTCCCTCCTCCAGCCAAGCTATGCCCCTAAAGTAAAAGAAAAGAATGAAGAAGAAAGAAGGAAGAAGGAAAAGATAAAAAGAAAAGACACCAAATGTTCTCCAACCACAACCAGTGACTTATAGCAACCAGTGATATGCAAGCAAATAATCTGAAAACCTTAGGATATACTTTTATTCAGAAACCCATTGAGTTGGGCTTCTCTCACTTGCAACTGAAAGAGTCTTGACTGATTCAAATATTTGCCTAACACAATGATTTGATCTCTTAGCAAGAAGACCCAGGGATTGATAATTCCATTTGAGCAAGTATTAGTCAAGATTCTTTTGAAAACAACAATGGACCAAAATCCAAGTCAGACTGTTTTAAGAAAAAAAATAATTTATTGGCTCACATATGTGAAATGTCATGGGGAGGAACTTCAAGAATGGCTGGATCTAGGTGCTGAAATATTATAGTTAGTAATTTCTCTCTCTCAACTTCACTTTGCTTTGTATCGCTTCATTCTCATGTAGTTTCTCCCATTGTAGAGAAGCCAACACTAGAGAAGCCAAAGATGGCCAATGACTAAGCAGCCCCAGCTGGAAGAAACCTTCTCTTTCTCAGTTCCAGTAAGACTTCCATGTATTATACTCAATGGCTTAGCAAGGGTCACAAAACAATCACTATGGTTAGAGAAATGCAGTACTCTGTCTGGCCAAGCCTATGTCACATGCCCACCATAATTCCCAGGGGTGGGATCAGCTTAACCCAAGCCATATAGACTAACAGTTGGGGAGGGGTAGTTCCTCAACGCAAAATCAAGGTGCTGTTAACAGAGAGAGAGAGAGAGAGAGAGAGAGAGAGAGAGAGAGAGAGAGAGAGGAAGAGGAGAGGGATGCTGAGCAGGGAAAAATAGTAGATGTGCCGTTTGATAGTCTGACAGCCTTACCCAGTACCACCTCCTGGGCTACATTCTAGGCATCTCTCCTTGATGATTAGCATGTTAGAGCTTATAAAGCAATGAAAATCCTTTTGCTACTTATATCCACCTGTTTATGTGAGTCTGGGTTCTTGACGTATTCTGACAGACTGGAAAGTTTCCTGGTCACCGATCCAGGGTGATATGCAAGGTGTTGTGGACACTCCACAGAAGCATGATGGACCCCCCTCCACCCCAAACTGGTTTGATGTCAAGACTGATGATGCCACATACACACTAAGAGGGTAGGAAGAAATTTATTACTCATATATTGAGGCTTTCTAGGCGATCAGGTCAGGCACCTAAGCTAGTCCAAAAATGGCTTCAGCAAAGCAAAGACAAGTGTCCCTGGGTTTTATTATGTTCAGGGAGTGAAACCTGAGTGAGCGTTCCCGCACACAGGCCAAGGCTTTGTGTGCTTCGAACTTCTCTAGTGCCAAGGGAAGGGGTGCATGTGCTTTTTTATGAGCTTGCCCACATGTGGGACGGAAGGGGAAAGTGGAGGTGGGGCTTGAAAGTTGTTGGTGGTTAACATCCAAAATGGAGTTAGATTCTTTATTACACGGGATCATCTCTCTAATTCAGCCCAGTTTTCTGACTGTGATAGATTCACTGCAGTTACAGTTCATCCATCAACCAATGAGACAAACGGGAATTCTTCCCGGTGGTTATAATTCTAAAACCTTATTCTTACCCTTTATTTATTCCTGTAACATCTGGAGGGGTGTGCAGGTACAGTTCTTTCCTGAGAGAGAGAGTAAAGTGATTACTACACAACCATGAATAGACATGGAGCCATCCTTCACTTTGTACTGAGGTGCCCAGCCCAGGTGAGTGAGAGAGACTTTCTTTGTACTCCCTCCCTGGTGTACCCCTGCCTCAGTCTTTTCTACCCCTCTGCCCCATCCTAAGATACTAGAGTCATTCTCAAGGCCAGCCAAAGGGACTTGGTGTCAGCCCAATTGCAGGGGGGTGGCTGCAGCTGGTCCTGACTTATGGATTAAGTGATTTCTTTCAAGTTGGGTCTTCTATCACTCATAGATGAAAGTGATTCCTCATATTTACATAATACTTTGCAGATTTCCATCCCTCATATATTGCTTCAGTTGATCCTCACAGAAACTCTATGGAGGTAGGCAAGACATTTTACAGAGAAGGAAATCAAGGCTCAGAGAGTAGGGGGATGGGTGGCCCTACAACCAACAGGGTCTGATTTCTACTCCAGGGTTTTCATCAAACCTTATGGTAACTTCAGGTGTGTTGTCAATACTGGGGGTGGGGGAATTTCCTGGAAATTCTTGAGGAGGGAAGGAGAGAGGGCACTGCTCCCACAAATTTCTCCTACTTCACACTGGCCTCACGTTCAGCTCGGAAGGACTTTTTGGGAATGTTTTTCTTAATGCCAGGCTTTTCCTTATCTCTGCTAAGTGTGTGCCAAGCTAAAGTTAACAGCTTAAGGAGCTTATCCTCCCGGGTTTACTGCTCTTGGAAGATCTCATTCACGAGTCCTCTTTTATTTCAGGCTCAATGCAAAGTGGAATTCTTTCTTTACTGTCCTGCCTCATTTGCCGGATTATGTTTGATTTTCCTGCTAACATTTCAACTTCTGGTGTAGATGGGGGTAGGACAGAACCTAGTTTTCTGACTTTTATTCAGACCAATCCTTTTTCAGATCCTCCTTCTCTTGCTCCTCTGTGCTGTTCCACGCCTCCATCCTGGCTTCAGACCTTTTCGATATTTTCCCTTATTGTGTCCTTCTCTCTGATTGTATCACGTTCTCTTGTTCGTTGGCTCTCTGTTCTCTCACTGATTCTCATCTTCCGTTTTTCCCTTCTTA